GCATTTCTTAGAGTTTTTAATGCTTTTTTATTTCTATTTCAGTTGAATACTTCTCACAGTCAATGATGGTTTAATCCATCCAACGTTCTCACAGTTATCGTGAACTGTGCCTTTACATAGACCGCACATGCGAACAATCCCCTCATTGTGCTAGATGGGAATATATGTAAGGTACATCCAACAGATTGTCTGAGAACTCCTTTTCTAACACGTTTGGAGGGTCCCATTTGATTAGAGCAACTTCCACACTCCACAACTAATGCTTGAGATACGGTATTTACACCACCGTAGTTGATTACCTACGCTTCCCTCCTTTCCGTAAAGCCTTCCAAATCTCGTAGTAGGGAATTTGATAGAAATGATAAATGATGCAACTCACAAATGGCGATGGTGTAGTACGATCGAAGTTGTGTCCTCGTATGGTGAACACCTTCAGCACTGAAAATGCTTCTATCATGACTGTGGGATGTGTAAAAATGCATACATAAAAACCAAATTCTTGACAATAGAAAACCATTTTATTTGTGTTGCACATCAGAATTCCATTCAGGTCAGGGGAAGGGGGGCAGTTCCAAGTCGCATTGTTACTGCACAAGCAGTCCAGACCTCAGATCCCCGTCCTTTTGCCTACCAACCGGCTCCCATCCCCGAAGTTTGGATAACTGAAACCCATTCGATAGGATCTAAGACCGGGGTAGTACGTCGACTATGCAGACAACACATAGCATAGACCAAATACGCATTCGATGACATCAACACATTGAATAGTAATAGAGTTTCACACTGAAAACCACTACGGAGTCGATCTTCTTGGCAGCTACTTTTTCTAGTTGCTAAGTTGCTCTAGCACATTTTTTGAATTATCTTCAGCAGTGAAGACCTCACTTTCCTTATTTGCCTTTTTTTCATCTAGAAAGGATCCTACAGCAGTTGTTCTCCCCGCGTCCCTTCCCTACCACATTCCATTTTCATCTACACCAACCTTAGCATACACACTGCGTTCACGGTACAGAAGGACTGTGAACTTCTGAACTCTTTTTTATTCGCTGGTATGCAAGATTGGCGAGTTAGACAAAACTTCGGTTCGGACGGGACTCGAACTCATACTTGCCCTTTCCTGTTTTTCTCTTTCCGGCGAACTAATAGCGTGGGATTAAGAAAGAAACATAAAGTCTAAAAACAAATTATAACTTACCACTTCCACAGCATGAAGTGAAAGCGGCAGCTAATGAAGTCCTAACAAGGAAAAGCTTTGTACGGGCTATGTTCCGGTCAATTATGAAGGACGAAAGAGCGGTATGAACCCATACATACACAACACTGCATATCAGCAGCATCATATTAGAACTAACTTGAATGTATGGCACCTTGCTTTTCTGAAAAAAAAAACATTTCGCGGGGAAAATCTTTCGGATGCCGAAGATGCCTTCGTTTTGTTTCCCATTTCACCAATGCTCGGCATGAAAAATTGTTCGGCGTAGGTGAAAAATGACTGCAGAGAGAAAAGCTGACGGACATGTCCTCTAGCCACCACACTACTAATGATAAAAGCAGTTGCTCTTAAAAGCTTTGAACCGAGTTTTTGCTAAAAATACCGGGTTGGTAAGCCGGTGGACAAAGATGGTGAGTGCGCGGGGAGTGCTTTTTGCCGGAGGCGGGACACGGCGAGCCATCGCGCGCTCCCTATTGGTTTGCTCACCTTCTAACGCACAGCTTCGCCAGCAATCCGCCTATTAGAGGTGGTTTATAGTTTAAAATACAGAGCAATGGAAACTCAGAAACCATGAAGGACTTACCGGAAAATTAACGCTCAATTGGAGGAATACCAAACCCAACAGCCCAATGCAAGCATTTGCAAAGCTGACTTGTCGTTGCCATGAATTCTGATGATCATAAGAGAAATATGACACGATTTCGCGATGTTTCAAATACAACCAGATAGCGGCTAAAAATTTTGAAAATCTCTCGCCACATATGAAGGGAGTTCTATAGTCAGAATAGATTACCAAGAAACGTTATGTGATTGGTCATCATTGCATAAACGGAGCTTGCTGGTGGACTAGTAGCGATCTCACTAAACAATTCAATTCCAATATCTGACGGATCTCGAGACCGTAATATTGATGCACGTTACGAAGGCGTATCGATTGCATGCGCGTAAAATCAATATCCATTCTGCGATACGTGCCCTTATGAGACAACANATTATGAAAATAGCTCCTTTCTATAAACATTGTGAACATTAAAATATTGTACATCTGCAAATTACCTTAGAAGAGGCATTCTAGGTGGAAGTTGCTTGTAGTAAGCTGATAAGGCGAAACTGTAAATTCCACACATTAATTGTCATTTTTCCAAGAAAATCGGCCATTTGGTCACAAACCTACCATATTGTCACACAGAGGACGCTATACACTGCCGTAACTACAGGGCACAGCCAGACGAAATCAATCGCCATCAACTGAGAATGTATTCACTAAGCTGTTTAGTTCTGGTAGCTCCTGAAAGGTGGTAAGTGGTCGTGAGCTATAATCACAGTAGCTTCGATTAATGCGACGAAAAAAAATTCGGCACTGCATTTTTATTACTGTAAATACAGTTCAGATAGAAAAATCGATAAGTAGCTAGTCTTCTTAAAGTTTGCTCTTCGAAAAAGATAAGAGAGTGTGCGGCCTCTGCGGCTTCCTGATAGTCTTTCCTGAAGGACCTTTGACCTTACGGTTAGTGCTTTTAGTGCTTCAACCTTGTCGGCAAATTGAATGTTTAGCTAAAGGGACAAAAATTTTTGGCATCGAACAACATTGGGCGCACATTGGGTTGCGCCCTCACATTTGAATGGCCTCAAAAGTGTAGTGGTGATTGATTACGGATTTGCTTCACACAATGTGTTGGTCAGCAGGCAATCCAGTAGTTTTTCCTATCTGATAGGTTTAGCACCATTCAAACGACTGTTGTGGGATGTGAAACTTGGATAGTCTGGGCGGGTATTGATTGGCGATATGGTCCCGGTCCACTCACTATCATGTACTAGAGACGCCACTTCGTGCCGCCCTCTTCCGTCTGCATAACGTCTCAAGGTGATTTTCACGATGGTAACGAATCTTTCAAACCGTTGTGAGCTGGAAAATTCTTATTTTCATTATATTTATAAAACGGAATCGTGAAGGCAATCGAGGGGGTTTGAGCCTACATAATAAATTGGTATGCAGATGGTCCAAACAGGACAACTCTAACTTGATGGATGGATAAATTAAACTTTGAAGAAGAAGTTAAGAAGAAGCTCCGCCTCTCAACACTAAACCCCGCCCACTTAATAAACAATTCATATAGAAAAATAGCGATCCATCAAAGTCGCTACTTTTCTATATATGAATTGTTTATTAAGTGGGCGGGGTTTGGAGTTAAGGGGCGGAGCTTCCTCTTAACTTCTTCTTCAAAGTTTAATTTGTCCATCCGTCAAGTTAGAGGGTGACTGCATTCAATTTCAATTTCATTCCAATTCATTTTTCACCGGTAGTCTCAACCGCTCTTATCTATGGAATTTTAGGGTAATTACCTTACAACCGTGAGGATCAGATGCTCTGCAGAACAAAATACGGAAGCTGAGAGGATCAGACCAGCCGGAAGGATATTGTAAAATCCTGTTCCTTCCAACCTACCTCTTCCAGACGTCTAGCACGACTGACATACATGTAGGTGGTCTAAAGATACTTTCAGTAGGAGAGCCTCCGCAGCAAAGGATTTCGCCTGTTAGAAATGTTTCCGGGCAAATTTCATCTCCACCTGCACCTCGTTGCTGTTCTGAGTGTACTATTTTGTTGTTTTGAGCTCTATTATTGTCTAGATCGCCTTTTTTGTTTTTGTTTTCGAGCAGTATGTACCATCGGTGAATGAGTCAGAGATAAAACGGCTTTAACCCATTGACGACCATCGTTGCAGTCCACATGTGGACTGCATGGTCCCGGACGGCCGATTTCTTTAATTTTGAACTGGAAGTTGTTTAATTTTTTCTGAGTTCGCAAGTTTAGGATATGACTAACGATGATGGTAGGTGGCACTTCAATTTAGTCAGCTAGTGATGGATTCTGATGAGGAGAAGTTCCTCATTCACTAATTCTTTTCAGAAAAAGAAATCGTTGAAGGGCCATATGTTTCTTCAAAAAAACACCGGTTTGGTGTAAAACTGTCTAAATTAGTGCGGAAGGTAGATATACCCTGAAAAACAAAGGCTAAAATATAAGAATGTATGGTGTCTATGCTTATTGTTATTATCTATTAATTGCAAAATTAGAAGATTTCTTGGGACCACACAGTATATAGTTTAACTTAGACCTGATCTTATGTATCGACAAGAAAGATCGTTAAAAAGTGGCGATAAATAAAATATACAACTGCAGTCCACATGTGGACTGCATGGTCGTCAATGGGTTAAACATTTTCCTTCTGTTCCCACCTTTTTTTCGTTTCTTATTGCTATTCCCTCCATTCTCTCAAACCAATGGCTGAATCACATAACTTTGGCATCAAAGGACCACGGCAGCGCCACCGCTGGGGGCCAAGAACTGCTACCTAGGCTGCCTAAGAAAGTAGTACACTACGCGCACGGCAAACTAGTCAAGCGATGCCGGAACACTTAACAGTAAATGGTATCCCTGGCTCTTACAGTAATCTGGCACTGCATAACCCCATTTCGATACACAACTTCTCACCCGTCACATCTAGACGCGTAGAAAAAGGGCTCGGGCAAGGCACGGGGTCATTAGTGAGGAAGCCAGGGGTTTACTTTAAGAGCCGAACACCGGTACGAAACTTTCTTTTCGTGCTAACCGTTCACACAACGAACAATCCGCCTGGTCTGCCCCACTCTATTGGCCAGAAGACGTCGCATCCAATATTTGGCCGCATTTGCACGCCCCATACACAATTTGACAACAAATAATGTCATCACTTGCTGATGGAATGGAGTTCACTTATAACATACTTTGTTTATTATGACTATTTTGTCTTTAGTTTCTTTGATTTCGAATCCTTCTGTTGGATTCTATTCGCTCCCATTCAAGAAAGGTTGTGATAAGATTTGGGGGCGTTGGCTATCGTAGTTCTTTCATTCTCAGTAATTTCTCCATCGTGATTCGGTCTGTTGTCTAATGATGTGCGATTTCTGTCCGAGTACTTCGTCACTCTTCGTTTTTTAATATGTGCTTCAGGTCATGGCAGAGAAATCTAAACCTAAGGAGAAGGATGAGGAAGGTAGCTTTGACAAAGAGGTAGGTTCTTGTAAAAGTTAATTTAAATCATTCAACTCATTTATCTAAACAATGGCCTTCTCACGAATCGCACCCTGTCAGTACTCGTACTCATGGGCTAGCTTCGCAAGGTTTTAAAGGTTCTCAGTAAAGCTTTTTAAGGTATACAAACTCACAAAGCTGGCGTGTGTGGGCAAAACTCGGGTTTCATAGAGGATTCGAACCCCCTACTTGTGCTTTCCAGGCGCTCATAATTGGTTGCCGTCTTCAAGCAACTATATAAATGACTAAGCATAGACCGTAGGCGTGTTCCAAGGTCATGCTTTGAGACCCTATGTTACTCGTCGAGCTCCCAGAAGGGTTTGGAAAACAAGAATTGCCCCTGACCAGCCCGTAACCCCCTGAGTACAGTCTCTCTGATCAGCCCGTAATCACGAGCAAGATACCCAGATATCTTGTTCGTGGTTACGGGTTGGTCAGGGGGACTGTACTCAACGTTTTGAAAGGTTTGAATCATTCAGAGAACCGATTAGCAACAACGAAACGGTGTGGGACTAGTGGCAAAATTGTTTATCTGTAATTAATAATCAAGAGAAAGGTTACAAAACTCGTTGGTGCAACTTATATCTCTGAAGTATCCAACAACAATCTTCCTCGAAATGATTGGGGTATTCCTCCTTCGGTAACTTGGGAAGTTGACTGTCAATCTTCTGTACTATAAATCATATTTCTAAGATGGGACTCGTAAAATGGAAACTAAGTGAGGAAGCGTTCGTTTCGGTAGTATTGCCCTTTCGTTGATGTTGGGCTCAATTATAGTACTGGTAAAACTTAGTAATTACCTTGAAAAAGACTGATGAATACCGTCAGACTGTACTCCTATATGTTATTTGAAATTAAGGTTATCTCAAAGCATCCAGACATGGAACTTGCTCAACTTCGATTTCTTGTAAATCATCCCGATCTCGATAAGGACATCAAGAAACAGAAACTTGAGCAGCTACAAGTGGTGAGCAGTTTGTCGCTATTTTCTCAGTACATTTTCTAGAATATTTGAATGCATCTGAAGATATTTTCGATGCCTTCAGGCCATAAAGGAATATGACATGGCGCCTCTCTACGAAATGATATGCACTGAGTTGGGAGTTCCGGTAGACAAAACACAGCTCACAGCGATGAAAGACAACAACACCAAACGCATAAAAGAAATCGAGGCAGAAATAGAAGATGCTGAGAACAATTTAGGTATAATTTTGATGAATTGTTGTAAGGGAACGTGCGTTGCATTGGAAGCGTGAGCCCTCGTTCGCTTCGACCTTTCTACTTCGATGATGTTCGCTCAGGTAGTACCGAGGTTCGTCAGGGGTGGTTGAAGAAGTTCGAGTATTACTGTCAGATTGGAGACAAGGAGAACGCAATTAAAACATTCACGGTGAGGAATAGCAACATCGTCCCCAGAGCACAGTATAAACCTTTGTTTCTTCTATCGGCATTTTTTTCATTTTATATTTAATTCAGTCCACGTACGATAAGTCAGTTGGAATGGGTTATCGAATTGATCTTGTTTTCAATATGATTCGTGTTGGCCTGTTCTTCCTTGATCATAGTCTCATTAATCAGCATATAACTAAAGCTAAAGAGCTGATGGAACAGGTATACAACATACGTCCTTATCTCCGAAATCCATGGTTCTATCTTAAGCTACCTAGGGTGGCGATTGGGAGAGGAAAAATCGTCTACGCTCATATGAAGCTCTCTACAAGATGTCTATAAGAGATTTTGCTGGAGCCGCAGACCTCTTCCTAGAAGCGGTTCCTACTTTTGGATCCTACGAGCTGATGACCTACGAAAACCTCGTTTTCTACACAGTTGTTACATCATTATTTGGTATGTGCCCTGCTATTTGAAAACAGCTTCAGATTTTCAAACGTTTTTTCCAGCTCTTGACCGCCCAGATCTGCGAGCCAAGGTGATCAAGTGTAACGAGATTCAGGAGCAGGTCTGTATTCACTAATCCATTGCAGTATCCACTTCACGTTTTCTGTTGTTTAGCTAACCGGTGGAGGAGCTAATGGAGCTCTAATTCCTGTTCGAGAATATCTTGAGGCCTATTATGGTTGCCAGTACGACAGGTTCTTTGTCCAACTTGCTGCATTAGAAAGCGAACGAGTAAGTAGTTGACGGCTACGTCTTCTTGGTCTTTGCGAACTTTTAAATATTTCAGTTCAAATTTGATCGTTACCTTGCGCCCCATTTCAACTATTACTCACGCGGTATGCGTCTTCGTGCGTATGAACAATTCCTTACCCCATATAAAACTGTAAGTTTCGACGAATTCAGTTCCTTTTTTTTTNTTTTTTTTTGACCTCTTGAATTACTCGATAAACGATCGGCCGTCAGTTTATTCGCTGACACATTTCTTATATATCTGGTTATATGGTTTCTCGTTTACCGTGATTTACGTTTAGGTACGAATAGACATGATGGCAAAAGACTTCGGCGTTTCACGTGCTTTCATAGACAAAGAGCTCCATCGATTGATTGCAGCCGGTCAACTTCATTGCAGGTAAGCTTCCTTACACATTAACCCAAACTCAAAAGCTGGCACGTCTTATTTCTAGAATTGATGCGGTTCGCGGAGTTATAGAGATGAACCATCCTGACTCAAAGAACTACTTGTACAAAGCTGTCATAAAGTAAGTGCTTACATAAAACGAGAATATGTTTGTGAAGTGAATTATGGTATTTTCACCCTGAAGCACGTAGGCTTTTGTTGGGATCAGGAGTTTCCATGAATCTGTGGTTACGTATATAAGATTACTGCTTCTGGCACTAGGAGCTAAGGCGTGGTAAGCACAATACTAAGTCTCTAGCCACAGAAATGGTCTCGTATCCCGCCATTCCGTTCACAGGACCTATTCGCAATGTTTTCAGTGTTTACGTTGTTGCTGAACGAAAGATGCCAAACTCATATTTAATCAACAATTATTTCGGTGTTTTAGGGACGGTGACATACTATTGAATCGCATCCAGAAACTTGCTCGAGTAATCAATGCCTGAAGATGATAAACTCTTGCAGAATCCGGTCTTTTGAATAAAGGTCTCGTACCAATCGTACTTCTAACTCACCTGCCTGAGTCAGGGAATGCTCATATTATTTATTTAATTCTCTATGCAACTGAATGTTATGTTAAGGATCTGATGACCTCGTACATTACTTTAATAAACTTTCGAGATTGTTCACTTTAATTTGTTTTAAACATTGTCGATTGTCCATGACATACTTTTTTCTTGAAACGATTGCTGTAATGCACTATCGGCTCTAGATATAATCAGTTGCCTGCCTCACCATGTTGACTTTACCCACTTTTATCGATTGCTATTCTTGAACTGAAACTCTCTTTCACCATTTGTGCTCTTTTTGCAACATTTGTGGCTCCGTCTTTTGATTATAGTAAGTAATCCCAATGTTGAAGGATGGCTGGGAATGGCAGTCACGCTCCGTAGGCATGCTCTTCCCATCGTTCATGTACTAGTTACCGCACCGAATGTAATAATAGAGCTGGAAATGCGATGAAAAGTTGGCAGAATCGATCACCTACGCTTTATACAGCCTGATCAGCGAGTTTGAGGTGGAGGAGGGAGAACGCGGGAAGCGTAAAGGCGGGAGGGGGAATTCCCATACCTTAGATAGCCTCCTTAAATCATCATCGTTAATTAGCCGTGACCAATAAGCCATTACACAACTGACATCGCGCCAATTTTTTCTTGCTGTGTGAAAGTCGTCAGTTGTGCTGTAGGATACGAAAAATACACATCATGCCTTTCATAAGACGTGATGCCTTATGTTGATTATTTTATTTTGGCGTTATTTACCCCACTTTATTCCTATGGTGTGTGCGAGATACATGCTCCGGTGTTTTACATTTATTTCATCTTCATTTATTCAGTTTTACAATATCGATTCCTCGTTATTGATCTTTAGTCGTACTAATCGCAGAAGTTTCTGGGATAGAAGTTATTGGTTTTTCCATATGGCCGCGTAGTATCCCTTTTCTCTGCTCGCGATTCTTGCATAAGTATACGTCCCAGGTGCGCAGTATGTTGCCCGTAGAGATGTAGAGAATAGCCGTACGAACCATGGAGTCTGAAAAGGTAGTTGGCGTGATCTGACTATTCAAGATTGCCAAGTAATGTGGGACTAGCTGGATCATCATATCACACGAGTTAGACAGCTTGGAATGCATTCGCCTCGTTTCAGCTGATTTTAATGTAGCGGGTGCTGTATAAAAGATGTAAATATATTATGTCTCAGTGTGATGTGATGTGTCTCAGCGCAGAAATATCTCAGCAAGAAATTGGGCAGCAGCTTTCATATTGTTTTCCTTCGGTGCTCACCTGTGAGTATTACTTAAAATTGAAAAGTAGCGCTCCTTATTTGAGGCAACTTGGATGCGAGCTTTCTATCCGGGTAGATGGGAATTCCTCGGCAAGTAAAAAGCTATAGCTCAAAGAAGTTGTGACAACAGCCTTTGAGAGTGTACTGCTTCTTTTATAGATCAAAAAGAGCTCTGATCTTTATGATTTGTTTATCGTTAGCAGTCACTTACCTTTTTGAGAATCTGATCATATCGTACTGAGGTACGATGGATACCCTGTAGAACATTATCTGTAACATCGTCCCAACATTGCTCGGCAAAGCCTGCTCGTAACGCTTGCCTGCGGGTTTCAGCAACCTGTCATCCGTCATATCTTTTAGGTCTTTCTCGGTAAAGTATATACTTTACCTCAATTCCGTAACGTAAATCTATCCAGCAAAGATATCCGCCTTTCTTCAGTATTCGTGAACATTCACGGAAAAACTGCTCGCAATCGGCATATAAATGGGAAGACTCTACGTTTAGCACTGAAAGTAGGGCTAAAATCATTTCCAAAGTTTTTAAAGAAGACGCTTACCCAAATCGAACCGGTTGTCTTCGAATGGCAGATGATGAGCATCGCCGGAAATCACAGTCGTTTCCGGTAAGGCACATCGATCCACACCTTGTATTGCTTTGATCAAGGGATGGGCTCTAGAGGTTGAACATCCGAACGAAAAAATAGGAGTAATGCGATTTTATTGAATAATAGCTAACCTTTCTATCCATTTCAGTCCATATCCTTGACCACAACCAACTTCTAGGATCTCCATTTCATCGAGATTTGGGTAGTTATCGAGAAATAGAAGTGCTCGCTCATATAAGTAGTAATGGGGACGATCCATATCTGAAATGAGGCCTTCATGAAGTGATTAGAAAACTGGATGTATAATTTTACCCAGTTCCGTGGAGTATTCTTCAATGAGATTTTTCATTTTTACGTCGTTTTTCAGTGAAGTCCTCGTAGGCCAATAGCCAAGATTCATGAAGTGTATACCGAAAGCTGGAGAAAGCTGCCGCATAATGCGATAGAGTATAAAACGATCGAAAATGTAGAACCATGTTTGTAAAAGCCATTTGACGATGCAGTGGGGAAACCACATGTGGCTGGCTGTATATCTTGGGATAATCATCTGAGCGGCCCTTAATTGTGTCTCGATACAGTGATTGTACCACTTTGAGAAAATTACACCCAATATATCGGTCGATTGTGTTTTCCTGTCATTTGACACTGACGCGTCCGAATGTACTCTGTTTCATGTTTCAGATAAATTATGACCGGCCGTCAAGGTGGTAAAGCTAAGCCACTGAAGCAGCCAAAAGCTGCTAAGAAGGTGGAAGACGAGGTATTTTCCTTTTGCCTTCGAAGCTTCTTCGTATTTTGCCACTCTTTTGGAACAAAAATCGGGATACAGCACAGAACGGTGTACAAGAACTCAAGCATTTTTTCAGCAAGACATCGAGTTCAAAAAGAGGCAACAGGAAGAGAAGAAGAAGCTGGCCGAAATAGCTGCCAAAGCTGCTCAAAAAGGACCATTGGGTATTGAATTTTTTGAGTTTTTCTTTCATTTTATCATGATCCAGTTCAAACTTCATCTTTTAAGTGCAAGGAGGTATAAAGAAGTCTGGAAAGAAGTAATGCGACCTCAACAAATTCCACTTGATTCTTTCACTCCTCAATCGTGTTTCATTTCTTTATTTATGTGTGGAACATAAATATTCACGACCTCTTTGATGTCACAAAATCGGGGATAATTATTGATTGCTACTGAGAAAGTCGATGGTACAGGCTTTACAACACATGCTGTTCAGCAGTTGCCACATAGGGAAGGCCTTATCCAACACTAAAATTATTTTCTTAGGTATATACATATTAAACTTGTTGAAGATGGCCATTGGATCAACAAGCACTATAATTTGATGCAGCAGGGAAGTTATTACTCGTTGAATGTCAGCGAAAATCCTGAAATGTGGTTTTCTAAAACATTTTTCAAGTTTTTTTTTATTTAGAGGTTTCGCTTACGCATTTTTTCGGACTATTCGAAGCTGATCACACTATGTTTGCCCGGGGAACGTCCGTTCCACGTGTCCGTCGGAACTGTGCCATCCTGCCCACCGCGATCTCGGGGAGGCGGTCGTTTGGCGCGATCCCTATCATCGCGCTGCCCATTCGACGCGGTTTGCGAGCTGTACAACTCGTCCAGTGGTTGGACAACCCACTGCTGATCCGGCCTGATCGATGAGCCATTACTATTAGACGCCTCAATGTGGACCTGCTTGTATTCTGCCGATCAGTGTGGCGTCATCGATCGGGCTTCTAGCAGATGGATGGTTAGTGGTTTGCTCGATCTACTGGACGAGTTGTCCAGCTCGCCAACCGCGTCGAATGTTAGGCGCGATGGCAGGGATGGCGCCAAACGACATACACCCGCGATCACGAGATGACATTACAGTAGCGCTAAGTGTCAGTGGAGCGAATGATTTAGCAAAACGTAAATCCCACTGACAATGCAACGTCCGTCAAAAATTGCACGGAACGGAACGAACTCATCCTGTTTGCTTCGCGAAGTAGTTTGTTAGGGCAGAACTAGACTAGCCATCATTTTTTTCAGGTGAAACTTTAGGAGTATGAAGAGAACAGGTACCCTAACTCTGCGCAGATCGTCGAGTAATGCAGTATTGATAAATTGCCCAAGAAAACTGTCAACCGCAAATTCAGAGAAGTGATATTTGATAATATTGATGAACCGGTTGAAACTGCTTCACAGCCATCATCAGGCTATTGTCGGAAGGAAGGAAAGTCAGTGCGAGTGCATAGTTTCATTTCAGCGTTTTACCTCGTAATTATATCATCTGCTATCATAACACATACTTTTGAAGATGGAAAGCTAAGGGTTTTTCGGATCCGCCACTAAAATTATAAAGTACGCTCCAAAGGATGTAATGGAAGTTGGTCGGCGGGTGTACTCTCAGTACGAGAAGAGAGGAACTCAGCTTGCTTCTAAATAAATCCCTCACGGGTTGTGTAAAGGCCTCAGCTTTAGTGTGTCACTTCAACGCGTGATACCGTTTTATGCTCGGAGACGAGCAAGCGCCGCATACCAACTGGGAGTTCTTTGAAGGCAGAATAGAGGTAGGAGATCATGATAAAAACAGTTTTCCCACAGGAGAAACCTTTCGTCCCGGAAAACCAGTCAGGCAGCCCTTTCTCTGAGCCGATGTGCAACCCAACGGTAAATTGGTCCCGTAACTCAGCGTGGGTATCTCAAGTTGTTTCGCTGATGATTATTCTTGAACAAGAGAGAACAGAGAAAAGTATGAAAGTAAAGGGAATGCAGTACTGGGTGACATTATGGACAAAGGAACCAGACATTTTTGAACCGAGCGCACGCAGTTGAAACTACTCGAAAAATGCATAATTCCAGAACCCCCAAAGCATGGCGGAATTAACCCTACCCGCTTCTCCGAGGACTTCAAAGCCTCAATGTGGATGACACACCCCCGGTTTCATACGTCGCAAGCAGAGAT